TGTATTTTGGATCAAATTAAATGGATCCTGAGACCTAAAAAGTAAGAAAAAAAATCTTACCGGCCACAAACTTTTGAAAGGTTGTTTATATTAACATTAAATAAAAATAATAATGAAATAATTAAAACTAATCTTAGCATCTAATAATTAACTACATAAAGCAATATTGTCACTAAACTCATATTTAATGTAGTGTGAGTCACATTCTCTTTTATGCTCTTTTGTTTTGTTCATGGTTTTCAAAAATGTCTCACTTGGTCTCTATAAGGATGTCAGCATTGGCGGGATTCAGCACCGCATTACAGATCAGCTCCTGAGTCACTGGGATGGACTTGTTCATGGACACACACAGATCGGACAGGTAGTCCAAAAACCTAAACATAAACAGCACATGGATACATGTCAGACTTCTATCTCTCTTTCTTGGCACTTATATACTGTGAGCAAAAAGTTTTGGTATTGCTCTCAAACTTTTGGAAAAGCTCTTTTGTCTTTGCAGTACACTCTCTCCCACCTTGGTTCACGGTTTTTCCTCACAAGGCTGACAAACGTGTCAATTTCTGCCGCCGTGATGTGCTTCTCCAAGAGTTTGCGGTTGTTGTGGAGGAGAGCCGTTATTGTGTCTTCGGCCAACACGTCGTAGCCGATCTGTTTCTGCATGAAGCGGAACTGCTTGGCAATGTATTCCTGGACAAGGGGCACAAAGAGACAAAGTGACTCATTCTGTACTTTCATTCACCAGACCTGCCACCCATTCTCTTATAGAACCAGTTTTGATAAACAAAAATAAAAAATAAAATAAACACATTTACATGAGGATAAAGGATGAATCCATAAAAAATTTGTAAGGATGGTATTGTAGCGTCTGGACCAATCAGACACCATTTTTCATTTGATTTAACAAATCAATTATTCATTAGATTAACAAATCGTCACAGTCCCCTCACCCAATAAACTGGATGCCAGGATGTCTGCCACCAGGCCCCCCTGGTTACCATGGCAACTCTGACACCAGATACATTTACGACCTCCTGGAATTTAGGTGAAGAAAATCGCTTCCTTGCCCATGAGGAAAATCCACAAGGGAAGGACTTTTCTTTGCTAATTAATTAATAGGAAAACCTTTCTTTGAATGAACACACATGATCCTTCAGGTCATTGTGTATATTATTGTCATC